TCTTGTCTGAATTAAGAGTCAGCAGCAAAATCTTATTATTACAATTTATAATATACAGAGACATAGAAGCATGAACATAGCAATTACTATAGAGCTTTCTCTACCCTGGGCAGAGAAGGATAGACCCTGAAATGAACCTTGGAAATTCAGCCACAGGCAGTAGAGTTATTTTGGGATGGAGCTTCATTGGAATCTTCAACATGATAATCTGGGGCTCTAGCTGCATTCAGCCTCGTGTGTAGTGTCCTGTTCTTTGTTTAAGTGTTCAATAATAATACAGAAAAAAGGTGATTTAGTCACTACTCACCAGTCCCTTCCTCATTTTCTGGAAAAATAAATTGCTGATTTTCATTGTCTCGGTATACTTGAACAAGAGCAGCAGCTTTGTATGCAAACATGCCAACTAATGCTGGAGCAAGCTGCAAAGAACAAGATTCAAAACATAAATAACAAATATGAAGTCACTTTCCCCGTTCTTTGAGCATCAAACCATTTTGGATCCATAAGATGTCTATTTAGCAATAATCAGGTATGCTTTTGATGGCTACCTGGAAATCAAAAAAGTCATTGGCAAAATATCTATGAGACAGGATCCACAACCCATATATGACTGCTGGGATAACTAGTCTTGGAGATGAAAGAGCAATGCCACTTCCCCTGATGGCTTTCTCTAGGATGTCCTTAATGTTAAGGTCATCACTTGTTTCAACCCTGAGATACAAGAATAAATTTCTATTTAAACAAAAGGGAGGGAGGGTGAATCTTGTATTAGCATGGAAATCAAAGACAAGGCATAAGTATTACAAGACTTATGTTGTCAATTCCACCTTTTTGGCTTCTTCGGCATAAAGATTGAGGGAACCATTTCCTTTGATAGATTGTCAACATGAGAGTACAAGAGCTGAAGGTATAAGCAACTGCACTGAAAATGAGGCAGGTAAAATCACCAGAACTAGCAGAATTAAAATGCACATCAAAAGTACACTGAAAAATGTCAATAAGTTTTATTTCTTTATCCTTTCTTTTCATTTAAAAACTTAGCATATGATTAAGCTCCATTACTACCTTGAGCTCAGTGGATAGAAGAAATTTAATTTAAGCCTCCAATAATTCGTTGGCCTAGGAGATTATAAGAATTCTATTATTAACCCCATAGATCAATGTATGGGGTTCCGTTTCTGTCATGGATATGGTTAAAAGGATGGACTGATTTAAATCTTGTGCGCATTACAACCTCTAGTTGTGATCTGCCACATGCATTAAGGTACTAGTCTAGTGAGATAACAACCAAAAACATAGCAACTAACCTGAAAAGAACCCCAACCGCATAACTAACAGCAACCTGTGGAATAATTCAGTAGGTCAGTTCTCTCTAGGCTAATAATTAGTAATTTCTAGAACATCTTCATAGTTATTCAAGGGAATGACACTGATGATCAAAAGGAAAAAACTTTAGGTGGCGGTGCAACCCCTTCTGTTACATAGAATATCCAACTTATTAGAAATTTGTTATGGAAGTGCAACTCTTTCTGCTAGAGATTTTACCTGCAATGATAATGCTATGACACAATACCCACTACATGCAGTTCCAATGCTAACTGACAAAAGCATCAGTTCTCTTTTAAGCTACAAAAGAAAATGAAAAATAGTTAATTTCTTGTGACATTGGAACAATTGCATCAATACATTTGCTCACTTCACACTAATAACAAACTAATCAAAAAGCATGGTGAGTTTAAGATGAGAATCATACAGCTTCATATTGGAGAAGGTTTAGTTTCTTCCTTCTTTCAATGTCATCCTGCAATGCCTGTTTATAAGCATGGGTTAATAAAAACAAAAAAAGGCTCCTCTATTGGCTTCAAAATTTAAGCAAACTACTGCACACGAGGCCTGGAACTTCAAGGTAGGCCCTTAGTTTGCTAAAATTGCATGCAAACCATCCAAGTGGAAATGTCTTCATAATTCTTAGTCTCTTAACCAGAAAATGCAAAGCTCCCAGCAAAAAAGGTATAAAAGCACAAGCATAACCAATAAAAGAGGAGATAAATAAAGATAAAAGACTGGAGCACGGTGCACCTTCATTTTGGTCTTCATATTAAGTGGTGCAGAACCATCACCTAGTACCCAATCACGCATTCTTGAAAGCTTCAGAAATCCACCACCAACATCATCACTTTGCATGACCTACATATATTTTGGCCATTATAAGCAGCAGCTTCACTGACTGTTTCAGCTATAAATAGTCAAAACAACTTGTCTTACCTGCTCAACTTGCTGAAGAGTATCAGCAATTTCACTAGCATCATCTTCTACAGATGAAACGACCTCCCTCCTCCACAACATATCAGAAGCTTTAGAAATAAAATCTCCATTCAATGCTCTATCCTTGAAGAATATTTGCAAAACATCCTCTTCTTCAACTTCACTCGCTAAAAATAAAATGAGAAAATTATAAATAAAATTATTTTTAAAAAAAATGGCTGAAAGAGCAACATTCCAGTGCTTTGAATCGAACACAACCAGCTAACAACCATTTTACACATCTAACAAGAAAAGCAGTCATTTTGAGGGCTAATTCGAGAGAAAGAATTAATCTTTAATAGATACAATGTGGAGTGCGTACCTGCACGAGAGCTTGTTCTCAAGGCAAAGACCGATAGGCTCCTTTCTGGAACCGGTCTTTGAGGACAGGGAACCCGAATGAATCTTCGAAATGGAGAATTGATACAGTTGGCGATGAAACTAACCCCTGAAATGGTCTCCATTCAAACAGCCACAGACCTTGACTTGAAATCCTGGAGAGTGGCAGAGTGTGCCTTATCCGTGGAGAACCCAGAAGAAATCAATCTTCCAAGAAAAACAGAGAAATAGGGAAAAATATATAGATATTTCTGAAATCTAAAATTGTAAAATAATTTGAGCCCTCAATTTTTAGTGTTTCATGCTGATTTACCATAAACTTTTAACATATAGCATTTGGATACTTTCCTTTTCCTTTTGTACTGCGAGAATCCACGTGGTCCACTAAGAAACGAAGTAGCAGGGTAAGGAAATAGGTCGATGAAGCAGAGGATCTAAATCCTTTCGCCTTAAACCCTCGCCCTTGCGCGCGGTAGCACGGTCCGACGGCCACCGAACAGAGGGCGAGAAGAGGAAGAGTCCAGAAATATTGGAGAGGGATATAGAGGTGGATGGACAAAATGAAGATAGAAGAAGTTCAGTCAACAGCTAAGAAGCAGAGAATCGCTACTCATACTCACATTAAAGGGCTCGGTCTAGATGTACGCTCTTTCCCTCCCTTACTCTTTCCAAGTTTAGGATTTTAGCGCTAGGGCGCCTTTTTTTAGCTTTCTTGTAGTTGTTAGTTGTTAATGCTGCCGCTTCATTCATGGGGTTTGGGTATTCTATGGTTTTACCTGTTTAGTATTGAACAAGAATGGGAAGTTTATGCATTGGAAGAATTTATTTTGATGGTCAAATGATGGGCTTTAGACAGGATTTCCTGGCCTTAGAAGGGGTAGTTGGTAGAAGCTTGCAAAGTTTACTGCTTTTGTGTTCTGCTGCTGATTGAATGTGTTTATTAGGGCCTGCTAATGCAAAGTATTAGTTAAATTTAGTGAATGAAACATGACACCCCTTCTATGGTGGATTCATGGCTGAAGACTCACTAAACAGAGTCAACTTTTTCTAGGTTAAGCTCAAAAAGGTTCTGCCTTGTATCACCGATGGCCTTAGATATTTAAGAGTCACTGTGTTTCATAGTAAAATTTTCTGTGGCACACAATGCAGTTAAGTGAGTTTTGGATCAAGCAATATTTAGTGAATGCTTGACGAATAACACGGTTAATTCAAATGGTTTCCTTGTATCTTATTTTTTTGTCTAATTGAAAACAATTTTTCTGGCTTCTTTTTTATTTGGTGCTAGGTCAATGGAAATGCCATTCCTTTGGCTGCTGGCTTTGTGGGTCAAGTAGAGGCAAGAGAAGCAGCTGGTCTTGTGGTGGATATGATAAGGCAGAAGAAGATGGCTGGCCGAGCACTTTTACTAGCTGGGCCACCAGGTACTGGGAAAACTGCTTTGGCCCTTGGAATATCCCAAGAACTTGGTAGCAAGGTATCCTGCACATATCCTGTTAAAACTGAATATTAATGAACTTTGGTAGTGTTAACATGCACTTCTTTTGGATGGATTGTCAGTTTTGAATCCTTTTCATGTAGGATACTTATTCAATTTTTCCTAATTTGTAGGTCCCATTCTGTCCAATGGTTGGATCAGAAGTATACTCCTCAGAAGTAAAGAAAACAGAGGTTTTGATGGAGAATTTTCGACGGGCTATTGGCTTGCGTATCAAGGAAAATAAAGAGGTCTATGAAGGAGAGGCAAGTTGCAACTTATCAATTGTTTAAAATCTTTTAACTTTGTCTTTTTTAAATGACTATGCTTACCAATTTTTGGGCATTCTTGTTTTAGGTTACTGAACTCTCTCCTGAAGAGACTGAGAGTGTGACTGGTGGTTATGGTAAGAGCATTAGCCATGTCATTATTGGATTAAAGACTGTTAAAGGAACAAAACAACTGAAGTTGGACCCTACAATTTATGATGCCTTGATTAAGGAAAAGGTAAGGATTTTAAGTTTTCTCCTAGTAGTAGTCAATTTATTATTTTTTACTTCTCGATAGTCACTTCTATGTTAAGTTATTCATTTCTTCTTCCTAGGGCTTTGCCATGTTTAGAGTTGGTGAACATTTTTCTAATTTAACTTACAGGTAGCTGTGGGAGATGTTATATACATTGAAGCAAATAGTGGTGCAGTCAAAAGGGTGGGTAGAAGTGATGCTTTTGCCACTGAATTTGATCTTGAAGCAGAAGAGTATGTTCCACTTCCCAAAGGAGAGGTTCACAAAAAAAAGGAAATAGTGCAGGTTCGTCTCAATGAATTGTTGGCCATTGATAACTGTCTTCCAAAATTTGAAAGCAATGATTTGCAGATTAGCAGTTCTATTTGGCTTTTGACCTGTGATGCAACTTATATTGATTTCCTTCTTCTCTATTTGCTTTTGTATCCCCAGGATGTGACATTACATGATCTAGATGCTGCAAATGCACACCCTCAAGGTGGCCAAGATATACTGTCACTTATGGGTCAGATGATGAAGCCCAGGAAAACAGAAATCACTGATAAGTTGCGCCAAGAAATTAATAAGGTACTATTTTTTTAACAAGTGTAACACGAACTTCAGTTATTTTTCTTTGTAATCTAATTTACAGTGAGTTTTTACAGTTTTGAAATATTCACAAGTTCTTAAATCACAACTTTTGTTTGATAGGTTGTAAACCGGTATATCGATGAAGGGGTGGCAGAGCTTGTCCCAGGAGTTCTATTTGTTGATGAGGTTCTTAAGCTATTTCCTTTGTAGATATGCACCCATAAATACAGAGAAACAATATATACTTGCACTCACATGCATGCAAACTAGAAGATAGATACCTGTCTGTCCTAAATCTTAAACTATGCATGAACATATAGGATTCATGCTAATTGTATTTCTTAAGTCACAATTTGCAGGTACATATGCTGGATATGGAGTGTTTTTCATATTTGAATCGTGCTTTGGAAAGCTCACTATCTCCAATAGTAATATTTGCTACTAATAGAGGAATATGTAATGTAAGGTAAGTGAACTTTTGTTCAGGGGGTATGAATTTTCAGAATGTTGATCAGATTAGCTGCATCATACAAACATGAGATTAAGAGCATGTTTAGTTCAGCTTCCAAGTGCTTCAGCTTTTTGACACTATTCATGTTTCATAAGTTTAAATTTCCCTCTTAAAAACTTACATTTTAAAACTTTTTTTTAACTTTAAAAAACTCTTAAACAGTACAAGCTCAAAAGCTTCAAATCCAAACTTTTCATAAACTCTCGTTTTACTTACTTTTTCTTTATCTCTAAAAGCAACTTTTAAATTTTCCCTCCAATAAAAATTTAAAATTATCACTCATGAACGGTACAAAAAAAGTAAAAGCTCTTACAAGCTAACCCAAACATGCTCTAAATGGTGATAAATACTTTTGTTCTGAAATAACTGATATAAAAGTTGTTCTATAGCAGTATACTTTGTATCCTTCATTCTTGCTGATTATTGATAGTTATCTTATTGTTTTGCAGAGGGACTGACATGAATAGTCCTCATGGCATACCTGTTGATTTATTGGACCGACTAGTAATTATCAGGACACAAATTTATGGTCCTGCTGAAATGATACAGGTAGAGGCCTGACTTTATGGAATTCATTGTCTGCAGAACCTGTCAAACTTTCTGAACTTGTATTGGTCAAGTGACAACTTAAAACATTTTTATTTCCAATGTTCTGTAGATTTTAGCTATCCGAGCACAGGTGGAAGAATTGGTTATAGATGAAGAAAGCCTCGCCTTCCTTGGAGAGATTGGACAAAGCACATCATTGAGGTCTGCCTTCTTTCTTACATTTGTATTTCATATTTTCAGTCATGCTGCCTACCCTCCAATATGAATCATACTCAGCTGCAAATTTATATTTCCCCAGGCATGGAGTTCAGCTACTATCGCCAGCCAGCATTGTAGCAAAGATGAATGGTCGAGACAACATCAGCAAGGTATCAATCATTAGGAAGCAATTTTATCATAAATGTTCCTTTAGTACCAAATCCAAGAGAACTTATACTTTCCTGTTTGGATCTGTAGGCGGATCTTGAAGAAGTAAGCAAGCTGTATATTGATGCCAAGTCTTCAGCAAAGATTCTTCAAGAGCAGCAGGAAAAATACATTTCATGATGATTGTATTTGATAGATAATCTCTTGGCATGAATCTGTCTTATTTTTATGATCATTTTGTGTTTGGTTGCAATCATATCAAAACCAAAGTTCTGGACAAATTTTTTAACATCAGAATATGATACCCCTTAGTTCATGACCAATGTTTGAAGCATATTCTCATTCAAGTTTAGCACAACGCATGGCATCCAAAAGTAGTTAACTGATCGACTATCTATTTATCTATCTAAGTGAAAAAAGTTTGGTTTTTTTGAAGTAAGTTCTTGAATTTGAATTTTGGGAATGGAAAACATGTATTAGGAGAGCTTCTCTTTAATGTGATTTAATTCTGAATTAATTTAACTCAATATGAGGAGATTAATTTAAGAAAGTAACTGATTTAATTTTTTTTTTGAATTGAGATAAGTTATTATTATTTATATTAGTATTTAAATAATTGTACATAGAGTAATATCAAGAAATTTCGACTTTTACTTTTTTTTATTTTATTTTATTAACAAAATTAAAATATTGCCTTGCAGTCCTTCTTGAGGCATCAGTTCAATTTTCTAAAAAAAAAAAAAAGGGGTGAAAAATAGCCTGAGTCTCCTCTTCTCGAGTTCTATCTTGTTACTGAGCCAAGGTCTGCGAGATTGCGACCCGTTTCGCCGTTCGACGGCCCAAGGGTTACATTCTTTGTCTGAACTCCATCCGAAAGCGGCCGCCTTTTCTGCTATTGCTCATTTTGTCAGAGAAAGCTAGGGTTTTTTCACTTTTATGTGAAGCCAACATAGTCGACTCGAGGCCTAAACCATGACACGCTTGAGCGTGGAACAGCTCTTGAAGGAGAAACAGACCCGTGACCCTAACTCCGTCACTACTCTCTCGCTCAACCACAAAGCTCTTTCCGATGTACCAACACTCATATATTTCCATTGTCCCGTCTCCTCTGTTCCATTGTCCCGTCTCCTCTGTTCCATTACCTTTGATTTTCTCTGACCTCTCGACGTTTCTGCAGGTTTCTTGCTTGGCCGAATTCAAGACCCTGGAAAGACTTGACCTTGCTTTCAACACTCTCACTTCACTTGAGGTATTTGTCTATCAATTTGATGTTCCCTATTGTGCAATCCTATTGTGTGCCTTGATATTGAATCTGTTTGTTTAATGTGGTGTAAGGGGCTGAAAGCATGCATTAATTTGAAGTGGCTATCAGTTAGGCAAAACAAATTGCAAAGCTTGAAAGGAATTGAAGGGATTACAAAGCTCGCTGTAAGTAGCATAAAGCTGTAAACTTTCTGCATTTTCATAAGCTTTGAACTAGTTAGTGATATTAATACTTGGTTTTTATGGAGCCCAGCCAGTCATGTTATCCAAAATATTATTGCAATTGCGTGAAGTATTTCAAAATTTTCAATTTTGCTTTGTAGAATTCTATGATATCTATGCAGCAGAGTTTGTCTGCTCCCACAATTTACTTTAAAGAACATTTAGATACTGATGGTGTTCCCATAGAAAAAGAAAAAAAATTTTCTGACGGTGTTATGTTTAGTGGTTATATTTTTGTTGAACTGAAGTGCTTGATATGAAAAAATGCTTTATTTGGTTGTTCAATTCTAATATCTATTAATTAACTTGTGTTTCAGAGTCACACTGTTTCTTCTTTGTAAATCAGGTATTGAATGCAGGAAAAAATAAGCTAACATCTATGGATGAGGTCAGGCCTCTTGCATGTTTACGAGCTTTAATTTTGAATGGTGAGCTTTGTAATGGAAGTGTAATCAATTTCTTGTTAACCATTAGTAATCTACCAAAAGAAAATTCACTCCAGTTTCATGGTTTGAAGAAAATATTTTCTCGTGCCTCATTCTTTTTCTTCTCCTCTTGTTTTTCTGTCTGGGCAGATAATCAGATTGTTTCCATTTGCAAGCTTGATCAAGTGAAAGACTTGGATACGCTAGGTATGTGTCCATAATACGTGAGTACTCAAACTCATGTCCATTACACGGTTTGCTTATCTTTTTATTCATAATACCCTAGGTGTGAATACCCCAGCTCTGCATCCATCTATTCGTATAAAATTTAAGATGGCAGGAATTCAGAATTTAACCCTTGCTACAAGTGTTCTTGCTCCTTGCTTTCTTCTTCCTCCCCACTTGTTCTCTCTAATGAAAGTCCGCCTGGATTTATTTATTTAAACTACATTTTTTTTTTCTGTTCAAATAAAAATTTTATCTTCATTTTGATGCCTTTTGTGTGATATTGTAGCCAATGTGCATAATAGTGACACTGTGATTTCTTGTAGTTCTTTCTAGAAATCCCATCTCTGAAATTGGTGATTCTCTTGTCAAAGTGAAATCTATCACAAAGGTAAGAGTTCTTTGGTCATTGATTGTCAAAAGAGGTGATTTTGATTGAACACTACACTACTACTAAGGCTTGTAAATTACTCTTTGTTCCAGCTTTCTCTCTCCAATTGCCAGATTCAGAACATTGGTTCTTCACTCAAGTCATGCATTGAGTTGAAAGAGCTTCGACTTGCTCACAATGATATCAAAGTATGTATTCCACACATTCATTTCAAAGAAGGCATGTCATCCTCAAATGATGGCCTTCTTAATTCTTATCTTTCTCTCCACCTCTCCCTGTGCGTTTGGTGTCAGTGTGTCTTTTTCTCTCAATATGAGCTCTTATGTATTTGTGTTTGAACTGCCTAGAGTCTCCCAGCAGAGTTGGCTTATAATACTAAACTTCAAAATTTGGATTTGGGAAATAACTTGATCACAAGAATGTCAGAGCTGAAGGTCTGCAGACCTAATTTATATGTTTGTCTCCTATTTATATGTTAAGTAACATGATCTTCTACAATTTTCACTGACTGCAAACCAAATTGCAGGTGCTGGATTCGTTAGTCAATCTGAGGAACCTAAATTTAAAAGGAAACCCTATTGCTGAAAAGGATACATTGGCAAAGAAGGTAATAGTGTTCTCATATTATTTCTTTTTTTATGGTCTTGTATTTTCTAATAGTGGTCTCTTGAAGAATTGCTACAAACTATTTAATGCAGGTGAAAAGATTGCTGCCAAACTTGCATATATTTAATGCTAGACCAATAGAAAAAGGCAACAACAATGAAGAGCGTGAAACTGTCAATGTTTCTTCAATTGATGCAATTGATGATAACACAGAAGCCCAAATGGAGGGAAAAAGGGATAAAAAACAAGATTCACATCCTGATAATGTTACTGATCCTGTAATGGATAATGAATCAAAGAGGAAAAGGAGGAAAAGGAATGATGAGCCTTCAGCTGAAGAAGTTCTAGTCTGTGAAGGGGAGGATACCGTGGTTGGAAAGAAACCCAAGGGAGAAAAATTGGAAGTGGAACTCAATAAACAGAAGCACCGTGGCATAGAGAATGAATCGAAACAGAAGGGGAAAAGAACAAACAATAAGCCCCTGAAAGAAGTTCCAATCCACAGGGATGAAGATGGCATGATTGACAAGAAACGGAAGAAGTCATCAAAGGAACGGGGTGATGTTGATGTTATTGATGATAGAGAGACGTCTTTCACAGAGCTGTTCACTACTGACCTTGCTGAAGCACCCAAAAGTGACAGTGAAAATAATTTTCAAGGCAGAGCTGTTCAGGATACACAATCAATGACAGGCTTAGTTACATACCCCATGAAAAAGAAGAAAAATAAAAAACACAATCAGCATGCTGCACTCGAGTTGGTCCCAACAGCTGAGATAGGTTTAGGAGGGCCATCAGCCTGGGATGATGAGTAAAGGAGCTTTTCAAATGTTTGAGGTTTGGGCAGAGCTAGTCTATAACTCAAATTTAACCATGTCTGAACATCTCCTAGTCCTAGCTAGTACCCTTTTGTAGTTCTTTGGCACTCTCTTTTGTAATGCCTTACTACTCAAGTTTCTGCTTATTGTTGTCATGCAATTTTGTACTGGGAAAACAAACAAATTCTACCAACTTACACAGGGTGAATTTTGATCTTGATTTGTTTCTACTAGGTTGTTTTCTCTTTTCTCTTTCTTGAAATGAAATCAATAAAGACAATAATGACTTGGAAGAGTGTTAGGTATTATTCCTACTTGACTTGGTGTTGGTGGATAGAAAAAATGACATGGAAGAAATTTTCCTTGATGTCTGCTAACTAAACGATAAGATTTTTCCATGTAAGGGAAGCATACAAGAGTCAAGGATAAGATTAGTTTCCAAATCAAAAGAACAATTAATTGAACCGTGGAATTTATTGGTCTTCATTATATAATGCTATTCTTAGCACTTACTTTATTGGTAGGTTTTAGTCAATGTCTTCCATTTAATCCTCTATTAATTATACTTGATTAGGAGTGAAAGGGATTCATATTAAGATCACTTTCATTCATATTAGCTCTTCCATGATCACTGAATTAGTAATCCTAATCCCTGTACGTGTACGCCGGTTTTAACTAAATTAATTTTAATTTTACTAGAGGTATAGATGAAATGTAGTTATGTGATGGCTTAATCTGTACATGGATTATCTCCATGCCATTAATGTAATTTCCAAGCACAAACAAACACCAGACCAGTTGCTTAGTAACCTCGGAATCTCCTAACAACCTTGCAACTAATTTCATTAAATTGACCGGCAAAGCTTAGTTACCTAGTTAGTCTTAGGGCATATTTAGTATAACAATTAAAATTCAATAGATAATA